CCGCCCCGCGCCGGCCCCGCCTTCCCGGCCAGGACAATAGCGTGGCGGCTCTGCGCACTGCGAGGCTCGGGAACCCCGGGAGGGAGCCTGCGCCATGCCCCAGCCCCTCGAGATTCCAGGTGTCACACCCCACGTTAAGGCCCAGTCACGAGGCTCAGTCCTGGGCTCAGTCGTTCTGGACTCTGAGCTCTCCCTTGGGACTTCCATCCTTAGCCTTCTCTTCTGGCAAACCCAGACACCCACTATCAGCTTTGTCCTCCTCCAAGGATGCCAGAATCCATTGGAGGGGGGGGGAGCGGACACGGGACCCCTCCATAAATTCCTCTCTTGAGATCCCAGGAATACAGAGCTCCAAAATTTCCCCAGTCAAGAACATAGAAGTGGAGTGTGAACGCATGCCTGTAATCCCAGCACTTGAGAGATGGGGGCAGGAAAAGGGAGTTTGGGGCTAGCCTGCCTCCTGAGACCCAGGCTCAAAAGACAAAACAGTAACTTAGAACTGGCCTCCTCTAGGCCTCTTCTGTCTCGGGATCAGAGAGAGGCCAAGTCTCCCGCCCTTTCATCCTCAGACCTAGGAATTCAGTCTTCCTGCCCTAATTGCCAGGTGTCTGGACCTTCAAATTCTCCATCCAAAAACCCTTTCTTTAAAGATGACTTAGGTCAGGTGCTGAGACCACGGTGTGGAGCCCCACATTCCCACTCATTCTAAGGGCTCACTGTTTTGTCTCTCAAGTAAGTGTAGAATGTTCTCTTTTCCCTGACCATCGGAGGCAACCCAGCTCTGTGTGGACGTCTAGGTGTGTGTCTTGTGGGAACCTGCCCACATTCGTCTGTCTTTTTGTTTTCAACTGTGTGTGCATCAGTGTGGGTGTGGGTGAGGCAGGGTGTGTTATTAAAAAAGTCTAAAGTAGGGTGGTGATGTACACCTGTAATCCCAGTGAGTGAGGGGGGGGGGCTGAGGATGGAAGATCAAGAGTTCCAGGTTAAACTCTGCTGAGAGAAGAATCAGTGGTTAAAACACTAGCTGCTCTTCTGGAAGACCCGGGTTCAGTTCCCAGTACCCACACCGTCTGTAACTCCAGTTTCGGGGGATCTATCACCCTCTTCTGGCCTGGGGGACCAGAAGATAAATTGTGCACAGAAATACATGCCGGCAAAACACCCACACAAGTAAAACAAAAGTAAGAAGTCTTTAAAAAACAAGAAGAAATGAAAGTGCCTACCGTAGTAAGCAGCTAGCAAGGCCTGAGAAAGGACTTAGGACTCTACTCTAATGACTCCCCGTGGCTAGGGTGGAGGGAGGGCTATAGGACAATTGTCATGGGCCTCTTCATTCATGGAAAACCCTAGGAGACTCCTCCAAGCACACTTGCCTCTTTGCCTTTTTTTCTAATTAAACATAAATATTCTTAGCCCAAGAATCCCCTTTTATCCCTTTTTTAAAATTTATTTGTGTTTCAAGATTTATTTATTAAGTATACAGTCCTCTGCCTGCATGTACACCTGGAGGCCAGAAGAGGGCACCAGATCCCACTAGAGTTTGTAGTGAGCCACCATGTGGTTGCTGGGAATGGAACTCAGGACCTCTGGAAGAGCAGCCTGTGCTCTTAACCTCTAAGCTGTCTCTACACACACACACACACACACACACACACACACACACACATACACACAGACATACACACGCACACATACACACACACATACACACACACACACACACACACACACACACACACGCACACACATGCACGCACAGACACAAACACCCCATCCCCACTCCTTGGATTCAATCCTTTCTGTGTCTTTAAGGAAGGAATCAAGAGAGTGGTCATTCTGAGTTCTCATAGAATGAGCAGCCATATTGGCTATACTTTTATTGGCCAAAGTTCCCCTCCCTGGGAAAGCCAGGACTGGGTGTGGGGAATTATTTCTTTCATCTTGACTTGTCTTGTGCTATCATCATTCTTGCTGCAGATGGTCATTTTCGAATGTCTTCTCTACTGGCTAGAAACGCCTTCCATCCATTCCCTAACTCCCATCCCCTCCCGTCTTTTGTCCCTCTGCAAAGAGTTTAGTCGCCATCTTGAATGTCTCACTCACGGGAGAATAAATGGGTAAAGTGGTCATATTGCTCCCGCTTGGAGCATCCGTTTTGGCTGAGCTGACTCTGCATCAATGATGCTGACATTGTTCCCCTCCTTTGGTACTCCGTTTTGGAGGAATAGGTCATCAACTTGTCCTGATTCCTCAGAAAGCTGGACAGGACATAACGGCAGGTCGAAGATCTCAAGACTCTCCAATTAGAGAGATGTCTTCACACGTGAGTCTGGAGACGCTGGTGACTGGGTGGAGACAAGGTAGCGTAGGGGAAGGGGGGTGTCCCAGAGCTCAAATCTGGGGGTCCAAAGGATGTGGGTTTCATGTAGCTGGTGAAAGCGCGGGGATGGGGTGTGGTGAGGTAACCGGCCCGTGCTCTGTACAGTCTGCAGGGGGGTGTTAAGTCCAGGTGTGGCTTGAAGTCATAGTAAGTAGGAGTCCCTGGCAGTCCAATCGGAGAGGAGGGTGGCAAGAAGAGGCCTCCTCCAGGGGCTTCCCCAAGGCTAAGGCTCACACTGACTCCTCGAACCTTGTAGTAACCGTTGGTTGGATCCTGGGGAACAAGTGAAACTTGGTAAAGAATGTGAGAGTATAGGAAGGTAAGAATCATGGGTGGACAGACACACGGAGCTACAGACAGACCTAGAGAGAGGCATGAAGACAGAAAGCAGAAAGAGCAGGAGCAGAGACTCTGAGACAGCGCGAGCTAGGCACATAGACCGGCAGAGACAGGAGAAGTGTTGACTTCCTAGAACAAGCAAGGTCGGGCTGAAGTTGGGGCAGGAGGGAGGGAGGGAGGGAGGGAGGGAGGGAGGGAGGGAGGGAGGGAGGGTTGATTTCAGTTCAAGAGAAAGGCATGGTCAAGTATAGACAAGAGGCTTTAACTGGGGTTAGGGATGTAGTTCAGCCGGTAGAATGCTTGTCTAGCATGCTCAAGACCCTCGGTTCGATTCCCAGCTCAGTGTGGTGACACATGCCTTTAATCCCAACACCCAGGAAGATAATCAGGAGGTCAAGATCATTCTTGGCTACAAGCACAGTTTGAGGCTAGCCTGAAATACACGAGACTCTATCTCAAAGAAAGTCGGGGAGGGGCTTTAGAATGGGGGCCAGGGTTGGAACCAATGCCTCTATCCTGAGATAGGACTTCAAAGCAGGACCTAGTGGGAGGAAGGCAGGCTCCTGGCTGGCAGAGGGCAGCCAGAGGGACACCTAGAGGCATGAAACATGGCTGACGGGGAAAGAAGGCCCGGAGACCAAGGAGAAGTGATAAATAACACAAGCCGAGGCTGTGGAGCCTGCGCACCGGTGAGCTGGCTCAGGAGAGTCCAAGGTAGCTCTTTTTTTTTTTTTTAAGACAGGGTTTCTCTGTGTAGCCCAGGCTGTCCTGAAACTTGCTCTATAGACCAGGTTGGCCTCAAACTCACAGAGGTCCTCCTGCCTCTGCCTCCGAGTGCTGGGATTAAAGGCGTGCGCCACCAGCTGGCAAAGGTAGGTCTGAAGGCGAGAGAATCGAAAGAGGAGGACAGCGGCGGCAGAGTAGCAGCCAAGTGTGGTGCTGAGGTGGGAGTCTGGTTTGTAATCCCAGCACTCCAGGGGCTGCAGGAGGAAGACCGCCCGAGTCCAGAGCCACCCTGTCTCCACAGAGCTTTTAAAAACCTGTGAGTGGGAGGAGGTGGAGACTCAGTGACTGATGGTGCCCCCCCCCCAGTACTCACCGTTGTCTCCAGAGCCTCCTTTTCATCAAGAATCAAGTCACTGTGCTCAGTGTGCACAATGGGACCCTGAGGTAGGAAAAATAACGCAGGCACTGGTCAGAAGATCATCCTATTCCCCTGCCAGATGCCAAAGGCCTTCCTCTGGGGGCAAGGCTGAAGGAGAGACATGGAGACTAAAGATAATAAAGAAGGCTGTGAGGGCATACGGAGCAGAAAGGATACCTGGAGAATAAAACATATTTGCAATTGTGGGGATACTGTGGATCTAGGGTCATCGTATTTAAGACAGGAACCAAGCTGGGTACAATGGTGCACGCCTTTAATCTCAGCACTCAGGAGGCAGAGGCTGGAGGATCTCTGATTTGGAGTTTATGGAGTGCTGGGAACCGAACCGAGGCCTTGAGCATTCTACCGGCTGAACTACATCCCTAACCCCAGTTAAAACCTGTTGTCTATACTTGACCATGCTTTTCTCTTGACCTGAAACCCACCCTCCCTCATGTCTCCCTCACTCCCCAACTCAGCCAGACCTCGCTTGTTCTAGGAAGCCAGCCTGGTCTACAGAGCAAGTTCCAGGACAGCCTGGGCTACACAGAGAAACCCTGTCTCCAACAACAGAAAAAGGGCTAGGGCTGTACTTGGGCTTGAGAACGGGTTAGACCAGGTTGTTATTTAGGTCTGGACGCAGAGTCCATGGACACCCAGTGTCTTACCCGGTCTTCTCTGCTGCCTGTCTCCTCCTCGGGGCCACGTGAACTGGAGCCGTCACTGCTTCCTGGGATCCGGACCAAGTTCTTTTTCTTGGAGAAAGAGCCTGAGGCCCAGGACGGTGAGAGGCAAGTGAGGTCATATTTTGTGAAGACCGATACTTGGGAACAGAGCTGACTGGGCAAAATGGGCTAGGAAGGCTGGAAACCAAAGAGAACCCCCGTCTGGGAGAGATGGAAGGAGATTGGGGGGGGACCCTGAAGAAACTGCAGGCAGGGAACTTGAACCTGGGATAAGTTGAGCCCTGCGCAAGCTTAGGGAGCCAGGAATGGAGCCAGGTCCCAAGGCCAGGCTGATACTTGCCATGGCGCCAGCAGCAGAGGACCACTCCAGTGATGACCATAAAGAGCGTGGTGGCTGCAGAGACTGCTCCAGCCACAATCCGCAGAGTGGGCAGCAAATCTGTAAGGAGCAGGTGGGATGTCCTCAGAGGGCTGATCTGAAGGCGGCTAACAGGGAAATGGGCTCGGGGCTTGGGTGTGGGACCCCTGGGTTCAAAAGGCTGCCAAGTTTGGGATCCCCAGATTTGCAATGCACTAGGTTTGGTGTCGAGGACTGGTGAATTTGGGGAGTCACAGTTGAGATCCCCCTGGCCAGTCACACCTGTAATCACAGCACTTGGCAGGAGGGCTGCCAGTAGTTCCAGGCCAGCTAGGGTGAGCTAGACCCCAGCTCAATAAACAAAACACCAATAATAAACAAACAGGGCTGGCAAGACGGCCCAATGGGTAAAGGTGCTTACTACCGAGGCTAAGGCCCGAGTTCAATCCCGTGGACCCACAAGATGGAAGGAGAGAACTGACTCCTCCAGAGTTGTCTTCCGACTTCTACATATGCCCTGTGTCAGGAGCACGCCCCTCCATAAACAGACAAACAAACAAATAACTAAATAACTAAATGTAAGCAAGCACCCTAACTTCAGGGTTGCTTAGAACTTGAGAGCTGGGGCTGGAGAGATGGCTCAGAGGTTAAGAGCACTTGCTGCTCTTCCAGAGGACCTGAGTTCAATTCCCAGCAACCACACGGTGGCTCACAACCATCTGTAATGAGATCTGGTGCCCTCTTCTGGCCTTCAGGGATACATGCAGACAGGACACCATATATGTAACAAATAAATCTAAAAAAATAAAAATAAATAAATAAAAACGAAAAAAAACTCGAGAGTCTTCTATTTTCCAAAATTCCCAGATTTGTGGGTTCCTAGTATGGAATGGCCTTTCCACTTAGGGCTTTGTATTTGAGAGAATTTCTTGATCTTGGGTCTTGTGATTCAAGAAATTCATACTTTTTTTTTTTTTTTTTTTTTGGTTTTCCGAGACAGGGTTTCT